GTTGTAGGCAAATTCTTGCTCGACGAATTAATGAAGCGTGAACCGAAACTAATGCGTTCGAGTTTTTAACCGCTTCGAATGCTTGAACGATATCATCTTTTAATTGGTCCCGATTTTTATTATTTTGGGCATAAATTATTTCTTTCACGTGACTTCACAAATAACAATCGGGCGAATAAAGTAGACTCTTTTTGCGAAATCGTGGTACAACTGGCAAGGGGATGATTCCTCACATAAAGTCTAATCGAAAACAAGGAATAGAGTTTTTTCATATGGGGCGTCATTTTCGAGAAAATTAAGATTGAAAATTCGTTCGGTACGCGTGTACTTAGACAGAGTCTACTTTATTCGCCCGATTTTTATTTGTGGAATCATGTGAAAGAAATAGTTTATGATCAAAATAATCAGAATCGGAACCAATTAAAAGGTAATTCAGGCATTCGAAGCAGTTAAAAAAACTCGAACACATTAGTTTCGATTCACGTTTCACTACAGGTCCCACGTATCGTATGAAACAGACTCTCTGTAGATTCGATTAAGAATAAACGAATAACTTTGTTCATTGAATTTCAGCTGAAACACATTTTTGATCGTCTCGTTTCGTGTTCTCAGGTCACCGACGATACCTGACAGCGTGCATCGTCTAAGACCCGGCGACATAGACATTGTCGGCGGTCTGGGGGACTCGTTGGTCGCGGGAAGTGGCGCTTTGGAGGAGTTTGCCATAGGCACGTTCATAGAAGCACGTGGAGTCAGCTGGTGCGTGGGTGGTCAAGGTGACTGGAGACGGTTCTTAACCGTCCCCAATTTGTTAAAGGTACATTGCGTACATATGTACTATTATAAATCTATTATATTGGCGCGCTCGCCTTCACCTTTCTCTGTGTGTCTAGTAAGAACGGTCAACATTTGACAATAATGGAAGATTGTACAGTGCTGTTTACATTCCTTCTATTTTTTTATTTCTTTCATTCTTAGAATTCGAACGTATACATGTAGGAAACATACAATTCATCCTGACTCAGCGTCGATCACGTCCTATATTCTATACTCGTGTTCTCGAGAGTCTAGGATCGGGCACAGTTCAGTTTTTTATCGTTCTGCGCATCTAAATGCTTTACCGTGTATATTGAACCATGTGGAGAGAGTTCGCTGCGATCCCCACCACCTTCCAAGCTGCGCGAAACGGTCCTAGACTCTCGGGAACACGAGTATACGTGTACAATAATTACGTTAGGTGTTCAACCCGAATTTGATGGGCTACTCGACGGGCACAGGCGAATTTATCTCGGCGAGAGCGAAACTGAACGTGGCCTTCCCGGTCGCGGCCACGGAAGACGCGCTGCAGCAAGCACGGATTCTAGTCCAGCGGATCAAGAGCGATCCAAAAATGAACGTGAAGAACCAGTGGAAGGTACAGATGTATACAGCAGACAGACACGCACACGTATTTACATAGGAGGAGATCTCGTACGAGTCAAATATTTTTATCTGCTGCAGCTCGTTACCATTTTTTTTGGGGCGAACGATATTTGTTCCGCGCAATGTTACAATCCCGCACAGTTCTCGCCCCTTCGTTATGCTCTCCACTTACGGAGGACGTTGGACTTTTTAAAAATTACTCTACCTCGTACATTAGTCAATCTCGTGCCAGTCATAGGTAATATAGACTTTTCACAATTTACTTTGCATATACAGGGTGTCCCACGTAACACTCTTCATGATTATTCAAATGCTTGCTATAATCTGATAAAAAAATATTTTCAACAAAAGTTGATCAGTTTTCGATTGGCTATACATTGCAATAAAAAAAGTTGGAAAGAAAGTTTTCTTTTTTATATTTGTAACATAATGAGAGCTTCCTCCAAATTTTTTTTGGGGAGTAGGCCGAAATCTTTACCCCTTAGGGTCCCCACTGGTCTTAATCCGCCGCTGTATTTATTTTTAAGTCTCGTAATTACATTCACTTACTAACTGAATTTCTTTGCCTTCAGTGTCATCCGAAGGTCATGGTATCTAGGTCATTGAATTACATTGATACGGGCTATAATACTGTTAAGTCAAAAATACGAAGTTCCATTTAAGAGAATGAAGATAACCTTAACAATAGTAAAAAAATTTTCTTTCCAACTTTTTTTCTTGCAATGTACAGCCAATCGAAAACTGATCAATTTTTGTTGAATTATTATTTTGTCAGATTATCGCAAATACTTGAAAAATCGTGAGACGTCTTAAGCGCGTTTCCCACTGGCTGGCGGCGCCATTTCGGCGCCGCCGCCGGCACGGACAGGCAGGGCCGCAACGTTAAGTTTCAGCTTTTACACGCTCTTTCCTATACCTTGCAAGTTAACGTTAACGCCGAAACGGCGTCGACGGCCAGTGGGAAACGCGCTTAAAGCGCCGAAACGGCGCCGCCGCCGGCACGGACAGACAGGACCGCAACGTTAAGTTGCGAGGTATAGGAA